GAATAGCGCACGATGCTGATGCAAAAGAGGTTAATTTAGGTAACTAAATAAGTGGTGATACAAAGTACTATCCATTTATGGATTTGGCATGGATAGTTAAATCATTTTTTTTTTTCTAACTTTTGGTCTGCTGGTGCTATTTTATGCATTTGCCACCGATTGTTGGTGGCGAGGTTTAGGGCTGTGCGTGTTTTGTGCTGGCATATTATTTTAAACAAATACAGTTTAATACTACAGGTAACAGAATTCTGGGGGCATCGTTAAGCGAACTATTGTCATTTGCAACTTTTGTGTTTCGCCATCTTAAATGCTGTTTAATTTGGGAAGCTGCAAGCTTGAGCAGGAAATGTTTGCATTTGCAGTAACTTTTAATGGCTCAGTTTTCTTTAGGTATTTCAGTAGCAGCATGCCCTCTTTATGCTAATACTTCAATATTTAAATTTTGCAAATGCATTTTATCAGTGGCCATGCTGCCTGTCTCTGTCATACGAATACAACACAAACGAGTTTTAGAGTGGGATGTGGAAAATGTTTGGCGCATCTCAAAAGATTTCTGTTGATAGGTCCGCTAATTTAACAAGGCCATATACTGTAGTCAGCCATACCAATACACCTCCAGTTTCCCACTGAGACCATTTTTAAGCATTTGGATGAGAAACCTTTCTGGGGAAGAATGGCATTACATTCAACATGTAGAGCTAAATGAGGACATTCAGATAGGTCTATGTAAAGCTAGTAGGATACAGTTCTTACCATATGTTTTTGTTTTGGTGCGGGATGCGGTCCCTCACAGTCGGGGGGCCTATTGGAGGTAAGATACTTGGCCACTTACCAAATAAAGACTTAATTTTAAGAAAGATTTTTGCCATCAATGTATTTTTCCCTACTTTGGTTTATCTGTCTCTGGGCAGAATGCAGGGGATGGATGGGAGGAGCACCTTAAATATTCCTCAATTGTCCTTGGATGAACTTCTGTCTGGCTGGGTAAGCCAAAGGTTCAAGCTCTCAACCATGTAACGTGCATTAAACAGTAATTATGGTAATATGTTAGGACCCAGAAATTAATATTTGCTATTCTTTGGATGGGCATATGCCAGCTGGGCAGGCCTCTTCTATTTCAGACTCCATGGCATGCCGCAGTCTGAATTTAGGTTCTTAATGTCCTGTAAAGGAGGACATTCATGGGGCTTTTGATGGTAACACACTTCTGGGCTCTTTTCAAAATTGCGCAAAATGCACCATTTTTTTTTGTATAAAGGGTATGTAAGGCGGATAAAATTGTATTCAGAAAATTGTTTAAAAGGGGATTGGGTCCCCCAATTTAAACTTAATTGATGGTACTAAAGCTGACTGAGGTACTGTTTTATCTGACTAATTTAGAACCAAAACCCAAGGAATATTCAATTTACATTTTTTTGGTTCAGTTGTTTGATGAGTTGAAAGAAAATTTAATTAAATCACATTTGACCATGTGTAACAGAGAATTGTTGGTATTTTCTCTTGAAAAATGAATTGGGAATGAAATTAACTGGACAATTAAAATGTTATTGTTGAAAATAAACAGGATGAGTAACATTTCAGAACAATCAGGTTTCAGTTTAAAAATTTTTTTTATTATTTATTATATGTAATAAATGGATTACTTTAATGGTTCGAGTATATATAACCTGTATTTTCATTTATGTGTAGTGTGTGTAGTGTGTGTGGTGGCTTCTTTCATTGTGTTTCTCCTTTAGCTCTGATGTTTTTTCACACATTGCAGACTTCCTGGGGGGCCAGGCGTTCTGTCCACATAGGTGAACCATAGTCGGGCTCCCTGGGAAGGCGGGCTTGGAGAAAAACCTTTGATGTTTAAGTAATACACGGTTGCCATTGGCACACGCAACCCAAATTTCAAACAAAACACCCCACTCACTTGCTTGATTTTTAATTAGACCCTTCCTAATTGAAAAGCGAAGGGGCAAAGGCTTGTATCGGCATTGATCTCGTAATCAGTGACCACTGTCAATAGGTGCCCCATACAAGCTGTTTGGGCCACATGTTTTGATTTTAGATTTCCATGTTCGTTCAGTGATATGAATTGAAAATTAGCATGGGTTATTTTAAGATCACTTGCACGTTGATTTGTCTTTGAAGCGAGCAGGGGGGGCATGAAAATGAGCCAAGATATGTTAGATGAAAGCCAAACTTATATCTCTTGGGTTCCTCATCAGCAAATGAGAAATGATGGTGTGATGACAGCAGCAGGCCTAATGACAGACCGTAAACATGGTTGAGATGGTAAACAGTGTAGTGAAAAGGGGACAGTTCACCAAAGGAAGGATGTCAGTGCGTGAGGCTCCCAGCTCATTTTCTGAAGAAGCTAATAACTGAACTGAAGCCTCCAGCTAAGCCTAAAGAAATAAATCACTGGGGACTATTTTCATATGAATTAAATTGGTCTGATTGTACTTTGGCTCGTCTAACATTGTTTAGATCACTGTTATTGACTTGGTTTTTCTTATTGAATATGATTTTTTGAAGTTTTAAGTAGAATAGATTTATATTTTGAGTGTTAAATAAATAGATTTTATACCTTTGAGTGTCAAGTAAAAATAGATTTTATACCGTTTGAATGATAGTATAGCTAGATTTTATATAAGCACACAGTGATGTTAATGAAGGCATTATGTTTTAAGTCATGATAGGCCAGCAAATACTGTTAATGAAGTGGTAAGCACGCATGGTCTTAGTAAAGTTTGATGTAAGGTGTAGTGAATATAGGAAAATGTGTAGATGAAAAATGAGGCACCTGATTATAGCGCCAAGATGTATGGTGATGTAATGTTTTTATTTCTTCTCTTATAGAAGTCTAATAAACGTTTTTAAGAAATACAAGTAACAGAACATGCTGTGAATAATGGTGTAGACATTACTTAAAACATAGTGCTCACAACATAATATCCAAGCTCTTTGTGTGATTACATGATTTCTAACCTATAACATGCACTAACCTACAATAATATTCCAAGCTTTATACTACAGTAGTTATGGACGGTTTGGGGACTTTTATCTTTGTGATTACAACAATAGAGTGCTGCAAGGATAACATATTTTTTTTCGTAGGCCAATTGTGAAAAATTGTTGATTGTTGAGTCTCAGTCAGTCTTTGCCGACCCATCGGTCTGTATTTGATGGCCTGGGAACATGAACACAACCTTGCTCCAAGCCACTTTGTTTGTTTCCCATTGACCATAATCCAGAGTGTTGGTTTTTGAATGCCTGGGAATGAGACATAAACAATTAACTATCTTTCTCCAGAATGACTGACCCCACCTTTAACATGTGAACAAGTGCTCTTCTGCTAACAAGGATATCCAGATTTGGGTTAGAAGGTTATTTCAAAAGCCAAAACTTGTAGTTTGCAGTGCATGGACAGATAGGTACAACTTAAAAACAGGTCTTGTTCAATGAGCAAACACATTGGTAAAAAACAATCCCAAAAAATATAATGCAGCTTGTCCAGTTCACTATCATACGGTGGTAATACTCTTTTGCATCAAAAAAGCTGTGACAGTTTAAGTGAGAGTTTAACAGTAACTGAAAAGGTGAAAGTAATCACAATCATCATGTTATTTCAATAAAATATAGTTATCTGCTCTGCTCATTTTGATTGCTCTGAATTTCTCTAATGTTGTTCATGGTTGATAATGAAATTGCTACACAAGACAGTAGTTTCCAAATTGGGGCACAACAGAAGAAGAGTTATGTGAACCATTGATCAGTTGCCTTTTTTCACAAAGGTCCACATTTTTAGTTTTTGCTGAAACTGTTAGACAAGTGCTGACTCAACTTCATTATCATTTTGAATTCTGTGCTGCTGTTGAAATATATTTTCATACAGATAGGTGTTTAAGCCTTGCAAACAAGTTTTTTTTTATAATTGTGTAAGGTTAGTTTACTGGCTTCAGAGGTTTCCCCCTGTGCTATGTTCAACATTGCAGAAATCACTGAATTCTTGTTTTTTTTTTTTGTGTAAGAGTTAACTGAATTAGTTAACTAATTGGGCTAATTTAACGTTGTTTTTTTAATAAGTCATCAAAACCCCTTATTGATTAAAGTCTATGACTGTATATAGATTGAATCCTGCAGCTGCCCAGTTGGCCTTGTCAAGGCCTTTTTATAGTGGCAGCCTTCTCAACACCACAGCACAAATGTTTTCTGGAGCGCTTTATCCTGGAGGGATAGGATTACACATGCACAGGCATGTGCGTGAGACAAAACAACACACATTAAACCACCCATAAGTATGTTCATGTATCTAACAGTATTTTACAACATGAGCAAAGCCCCTAGCAAAACAGTTGCTTGTAAAAAAGGAAGACCATGAACAATGGAGTTTTGTAAATTTAATGTCTGGTAAGATGGTATACAAAAGACACTCTCAGGAAGACATACAAACACACACTGTCCATACTGAATACACATGCCTTCAGCAGTTCCACACACACACACACACACAAACACGCCCTCCCTCCCTGGACCTGGTGGGTATTCCCAGTCAAGTTAAGTCAGTGTTGCTACGCTATCTCCTTAGGCACAGCAATACTGCATGTGCACGTCTGTGTTGGTGTGAGAGGAGAGACAGATGCTGTGTGCACGGTGGTGAGGACGCACTTTGAATTTCCTCGGTCTGCCTCCTTCTGATTGACAATCTCCATCTGACCATCTTTTTTTCTATTTGTCCGTCTGCCTGATGATTTGTCTGTATGTCTGTTAAACCGTTTGTTCACCTTTCTGTCTGCCTGTTTATTTGTCTGTCTGACCAACTGGTTGACTGACACAGAGCGACATCGACGAAGTATGACAGCCTCCCCAAACTCCTCTGGCGGCTTAGAGGTCCTCCTTTCCACTCTGCAGGTAGGGATCCACAGTGCAGGTGTGTTACTTGTATTAAGTATTGTTCATGCTATTTTATATACAGTGTCACAAAACTAACTACATGGCTGTTAAGTTTTTAGGGCTTTCTCTATAATCGTTTTTTACAGAGTGATATAGTATTGCACACATTCGGAATAACTGATGTGAGTCATACGAGCCAGCATAGGCGTATAATAAGTGATGAGACCATAGACACCAGAATTAGTCATGTATCTCCAGTAGATTTTGGGATCTGTTGGGATCTGTTGCTCCATGACATTTCAGAGAACAGTCTGTTCTCTGACCTCTAGCATTATCAAGTATTAAAATACCCTTCTCAAGTAGAAGAAGTTAAAATACTACTACTCTGAATAACAGTACTTCCATACAGTTACTGTGAAAGGACTGTGACATCCTAAATTTAGATTTCATTATGAAGATGCCCTACTAACCAATTCATTAATGCTCTTCAACTTGTCCAAGGAGTCCATCTTTTCTTTTCTTTTTTTACAAGAAAAGATTTCTCACAGACTTACTCATGTTGGGCATGAGGCTGTCTGACTTATAAAATTCTTCTGATATGACCATGACAGAAGATGCAGCTGTAATTCTTGCCTTTCTAAAAGTGATGCAGTGCATGTTCTGAGATACGTCTCACAGAGATTGTTTAATTAAACCTTACTGTGCCAGAGTTTGTTAAACAGAATTATCTGGCAACTTGTCATTGGAAACTTTTTGGAAAAGGGTAGGCACTTTCAAAAAACTACTTGGCTTGGGATTCGTTACCAATTTTGAAAGGAAGTCTAAAATGTTGATATACTGTCTGTCTAACGTAGCTCCTTACGTAAGTTTCCTAATCTTTGTGTTACTTTCCCTCATAGTCTGCATAAATCTGCATAGCTTGTGACTTTATGGTGACTCTCAGTTTTCCCGGTTGGGTTTAGCATTGCAAAGACAGGAGAGGTTGACCTACGTGTACACAGTTTGATTGACATCAAACACAGCCCTGTGATGACAGCTCTGCCTGCTTTCTTCACAGCCACTTAATAAAAAACAGATTTTAGAAAAGCATGCAGTGATTTGACTTTTGAAAACTAGAGCCAATTAAAAAAACATTTCCTAAATCACCCATATTGCATTGTTATGATAATTGTTATATCATATTGACCAAACACAATGCGAAATAAAACAGTTGTAAAACAGTTACCTTTTGAACAAATTTTTTTTCAAATGTTCCAAATGCATTTTTTAACATTTTGTCAATAGGTCCAATAAGCTCTTAAGTTAAATAAAAAAGGGTGATAAACAATGTTAGCGTCATATTGCTAACCATTTCTTCTATTTTAAGAATTAACCTAACTACATATATGAGTAGGTGGATAGCAGCAACCCATAGCCTACGATACATGTTGTCATAGTAGTTCATGTTTACTAGCGTTTCCATATATGAAACACAAACTTGCTGACCAGAAGCTGATATTAAATCCTTTTCCTGTGAGTTTAACTCAGCACTAATCTTTGCCAAGGTCATGGCAGAGGGAAATTACATTAACACCAGCTTCCAAGATTGTATTTAATGAAGGCCAGGACTGTCATATTGTGGCAATAAACCCACACTGTAAAATTAAATTAGTTATCATTACTTAAAAAAAGCATGCAAACCGATTGCACTTAAAAAAACAAGTAAAGAGAACTAGGTATTTTAAGTTGTACTAACTAGTGCTTCCTTCGTAGAGTACACTTATAAATGAGTTTAAGCAACTAAAACAATCAAGTAGAGTGTACTTGATAACTTACTTTAGATGTACTCTCAACTAAGTAAAAACTACTTATAATTACTATTTTAAATCTACTAAATCATTGCATGTGAAATTTACTCTGTGTTTAGTCAATATAACACACTTATCTCAATTGGACCAACTTAGCATTTCTAAGTTATATTTACTTGAACAGCAATCTGACGTACTTGCTAAAACCATGCAAACCGATTGCATTGGAAAAAAAGCAAGTAAGTGCCTCAAATAGCTATACAGGAATGAAAAACAGGTTCCAATTTCCTAAAATAATCTGAATAACAATTAAACATAACAAATCAAGGTCATAACACAGTTGAAAGTTCAATTATATCAATTGTTTTTTTATTTTTCAACTTTTTATTTTTTAAAGATTGCCTTTAATGACATCCAAACATAGCTGTAATATCAATAATACACTAAACACAGCTTAAAAACTGTAATAACTAACAGTTTATAGACCACCCTGGTTAAAGAACCAACATGCTGACAAGTGCACTTTTGTATGCCTGAATAATGTTACTCAAAAAGTCACGTTAAATTAAAACGTAGTGGAGTATAAGTAGCTATACGTATATATTACTTATTGATATAAAATAAAAAAAACATGCCGACAAGTTTAAAGTGGCTTCAATGAGTGCAAAAACCTGAGAGGGTAATGACTGGCAATGGATCTCACATATGTGTGAATGAATATACGTACATCTACAGCCTCCAGTAACTTAGTGATGAACCCAAGGGCTGACAATTTGAGTGGAGTGAACAATAAAAAACAACTGAATTCACTCATGAACAAGTGAGATTTGCCAAATGTCACCACTCGTACAACTCAACAAGAGAGAAGACTTTGCAGTTTTGGTGGGAGTTTGTTCTCTCCCAAGCCAAGCATCACTCTTTGAATGAAGCCGAAAGTGTTTTTCGTGGCTTTAGGGTAGTCCAAATGTAAAGCATATGACAGTCCAAACAGCCTTGGGTAGGTTCTGGAGATCATCTATTACAATATCTCCCTTAACAATGATGGCGGTAGACAGTGGGTGAAGGTTGGAGCTGATTTGGAGTGAGTTGCACATCAGTCAGCACGCCGACAGATACTTGTGCCCAGGTCTCATCATTGTCACAATCCTGTGATGAAACCAAACAAAAACATTACAACAGGGAAATGTTGTAAATTGTCAATTGGAAATTGTCACCATTTCATCTGTCCTGCCAACACTGCCTTCCAGCCTTGTGCATTAAAGGAATACTCAGACGATTTGGAAGGTTAACCCTTTCTCATATCATTCGTTCATAGTGAGACGACATGATCAACTATCTTTTTGTGTCTGTACGTCCAGTGGACTGGCCTTTCAGCTCTTAACATCGCGGCTTAGCTCAGCGCAAACAATGGCAGTGGACAGAGACAGTGGCATACCTCTGTAAATGGTGAAACAAAATATTCAACTGGCCATCACGGATGGGTCTTTCAGCGCTACGTTGCGATGCAACAGGCTGGCACAGGCCAGCCAATGGACTATATCAAATCTGAAAACATTTTAAGAGTTTTTTTTAGGCATTTCTGCTTTATTTAATAGTGACAGTAGAGAGAAGAAAAGCGGGGGGAAGAAGAGAAGGAAACATGCACCAAAGCCTCCCTTCCAAATCAAACCCCAGATGCTGGTGGTTTGGACTCAGCCCTTGATTGTGAAACATCTCACCAGGTTGAACTACCAGAAAACCAAATGCATCTGCATTTAAAACATAATACTTTTTTTCCCTTTTCTAAATCTTAGAGTCAAATAGGCAAGGTCGGGAGGGTTCTGGAAGCTCACTCTGGTAAAGCCATCGTATCAACATACTGGGGCTGTGGCTCAGAGGCAGAAGCGGGTTGTCCCCAATCAGAAAGGTTGGTTGTTCGAATCCCCAGCTCCTCCCTGCCACGTGTCGAAGTATCTGAGCAAGATACTGACCTCCCAAATTGGCTCTGATGAGCAATACATATGGAAGTTGCTCCCGATGCACAGCATTTGTGTGAATGTGTATGAATGAGTTAGTTTCTGTTCGATGGACTTTGCCATCACTGAGTGAACGTGTGTGTGGCACGTAGTGTAAAAGCGCTTTGAGTGGTCGGAAGACTAGAAAGGTGCTATACAAGTACAGGTCCATTTACCATTTACCATTGATGAATACATGCAATTATGTTATACATATTAATGATTATTACCTTGACAAAAATTAAACAAATGGTAGCCTTTTGTGCCCGCTTCTTAGTTCAAGTTTCACCTGTGTGGTATAATATTCCAGTAAAGAGAATAACACCAGTCCCAATGGTGCTGCAGAGACCTGCCTCCTGGATATATAAACAGCCATCCAAGTATGTTTGAAAACTGCCAAGTTTTTAGCAATCTATCTGAGACAACACCACCATCTTCACACTCAATCTCCCCTGGTTCTTCCCCTCCCATCCTTGTTTGTTCGGCTCTTTCACACATGCACACTTCGTAGGGAAAGAGAGAGATAGAGATAGAAAGGAACAACAGTAACGTTAGAAGGCGTAAACGTAGACTGTAGAGTTTTTTACAAGCCAGAGCAGTTGGAAAGGCTTTAGATACAGTTAGTCCACTAACTGTACTATTTTAACTGAAAAAATGAATAAATATGTGCACAACATATTTACAACAATTAACATATTATTACAAAGCTGACACTTTTGTTGCCAATTGTTGATATCTTAGGTAACAGACACACTGTTCCCCCTTTTCTCGTGACTGATTAGGATGAAGTTCACATGACATAAAATGTAAATATTGCAAATCCTAAGCTACTTTCTTCTTTACTAGGTCTGTCTGACTCTGTTCTTCATAATGTCATCATACTGTGTATACGTCTTAGACTATACTATAGATACCTCAGCAGTCGGCAGCTTTTATGAGGGTTTAAATACCCACAAACCTATACGCAGACAAGTGTGATTGGGGCCATGCAACGTCACAACTAAGCAAAATACCACGCAAATGTCTTTTCAGACCCATACAAACGAGGTTAGAAGGAGACATGTAAAATGACTTCAAAGCGCTGGCGGTTTGGAAGGCATCAGGTTAATTGGCAAGTTGCTTTGAGAGCATGAGAGAGAAAGAACAGAGAGAGGACTGTGTGTGTTGTGTGTGTTTGAGAGATGGCCAAAAAGAACCAAGAAAGAAGGTTGACAGACAGCTCATCTTTTCCCATTAGTCTCTAACCAATGGCAAACCTTTGCATCACTTCTTGCATCCAAGTTGTGGGTTCCTCTTTTGGCAGGCTTGACACATCTCATTGCTGTTCTCTTGTCATTCTATCGATAAAATAATAACCCTGAATACTTACAGTGGTTTACCGTTGAGGTAACGAACAAGCCCACCTCATTACCACAGCAACTGTGGCTATACAGCTCATTACAGACTGCTCCATGAGCTTGTTAACAGAATAATACGTCACTACAGTTCTCTGTGGACAATGCAGCACTCCAACAAGGTGGCCTGGAGAATTTTAATGGACATGACAATGTCCACTCACTCATTCACCCCATATGCTTTTAACTATTATATAACCTGAGGGCAGCATGTACGCAGCTGCACAACACTGCTGTGTGCAACTGTGGTCACACAGTGAGTGTGTGAGGGAAAACTGGAGGAGATAAGACAGGGATGACGCTGGGTTCCTGTGTATCTTGCTGAGGGAAGTGTAGACCAATTACTAAGAGCAAATATTGACTATACTATCCTTGCCTTTGCACACCCATCCTCTGCCTTCCACCCTTTCCCACCATCTACCATGCCTGTGTCACCTAAGACCCTATTTAGACTGATAAATCATGAAGGGTAAAGCATTTTTCAGGTATTAGTCGCATACTTTTTTAATTAGCATTTATATTTTCTGTTTGTGCTACTTCCAAGAAGTTTTGTTGGTTCACTCTGGGTGAAATTCTTCCCTTCCATCCCCATTTTAGCTCAGATGCTGTAGCTGGTACTGTATATAGAGTGCACCTCTCTTACCTCAATTATAATTTGAAATAAAAATTAACTCCCAGCATAAACACAAGTCTAATTTCCCAGTGGTTTTGAATAATACTGAAATCTTATTTGGAATATTGTTTGGAATTATAAAGGCAAAATAATAATGCAATTTTTCCTTGTTGAGTCATATGTGGCATGCAACATCTGCTGTGCTACTATTATATACAGAAAATAAAGGTACTAATGAAAGCCAACAGCTTTCATATTTACATAAAGTTTTTAAAAAAGCCTCTTCAGACATGTTTTAAGACACAAAAATACTGCACTGAATAATAATTTTCTACTTCACTGAAAAGTCAATTCACAGTATATGTGTACTGCAGGTTTCAGTGTTCCACATCACACTTCTGTAAGCTGCATATTGAATGTTTGCCTTCCAAATTAGTGATAATGTCAGAAAATCCTGCTTGTTCATGCGTACGTTAAATTCAGATTTAAGATGAGCACAGCAAAACTTCCACCCTTCAGCAGCTGAATGTGAAAACGGCCACCTAATATTAAACTCTGCACATACATACAAGCTAAACAGATAAGGTCAAACATCCAAGAGAACACATTTTTAAAAGCACCCTGTGTCGTTTTTGCATTTGCACAAGCAAGCACGAAGTACACAGTCCTGCTTCCTGCTATTCTGTTGCTCAAACGTTGGTGGTGGTAACATGCAAAGAAACATCATGTTCCTGCAAAGGCAAGGGAGGAGAAGACTGGAAGCTAGTAAGCAATGATGTAAACAATGCAGGATTTCAAATACTTAAAAAATTGGTTTACAAATGCATTCAACATATTAATCAGCTGAATATCACTGAATGTCAGAAATAATTTTGTTGACAAGATAGATTCTCAGGGCACCTTTAGCCAAGCAGGCATTTCTGGGTTAAAGCAAGAAGGAAAAAAATCAAGCTCATCCCATATTCAAATAAAATCATGAAATTAAAATGTTGGGGATGAGTCTGACTCTTGATGTCTAAGAATCTCCTGAGTAAAAGATTTTCTTTAAAGGTGATTACTTTTTGCATAATTGGAATTGGAAAGGAGAACGTGTACCCACAATCTCTTAAAAGGGTTGTCAATTAATCAATATCTTTGACCACTGTTGCCCATTTTAACAAGCAAAAATCAAGTCAATGCATAAATGGCAAGCTTCCAACTGTCATTCCAAGATTTTCCATGGGTACACCTCATACATAATGATTCTGGAAATGTCAGTCTGGAGACCTCAGTGCACCCAAAGCAATACTCTGAAAATGCACGCAAGGCAGCCTACGGTCCAGCCACCCACATCTGCAACTGTCTCCCAGGTCTTATGAATATTTTCATACCAAATGTCAGCATGACGCCCCGACACTGGACAGATAATTTGGTAATAAAATCTATATTACTCTCAACAGAGCCTACTGAAAATTCAATAAACCTTAAAGCATATATATGGCCTCTCCTGTAAGACCCTTTTGACTGTGTCTGGATGAAGCTGCTAAAACACTCAACAGCCAGACAGAGAAAAGGACTGTATGGTGGGCGATGGGAACCAAAAAAAGATGCTGAGAGGAGTTAACACAACAGTATGTAGAAAAAACACAAAAAGACTGTCAGCTCCAGAAAAGGAGAGATTAAGATGAGTGAAATGGAACAAGTATGGAAGAAAAAGGTATAGGGGTAATAAAACAGAAACAGAGGTGGACAGTAACATCATTTTCTGCCCTCAGATTCCCAGTAATAGCCGCCTTAAGCAAGTTCTATTCCCTGTGCTCTGCGCATGAAAGGTCAGTGATATAAATCTATATCTGAGATGACTATTGGCATGGCTGTTACTGCTTTAACCCCATCTTCTTCAGCGGGCTTAGATATCTGACCTGCATTGATTAGTCCTAGGTTAAAGGTTCAGTCTTGGATTGAAACAGCACCAGAAAAATTGATTGGGTTGGTTTGGTATACTTTGTAAGCTACAGTCAGCGGAAAAGTAATACTAAGGCTTATGGGAGAAGTTCCACAATAAATTGTTTACAGAGGGGAGTTGTAGCTCTCCAGAGGAAAAAGAAAATCAACCATCCTTTAATGTAAGATTTTTGTCCTCAATAATACACCATACTGTGCAAAACAGCCTCCAGTAAAGTATGTGAAATTCTGCTGGAAGCTGAAAAAGAGCAAGTCAAGTTACATTACACCCTGATAATGGCAGTACAAACATGGACGGCAAAGTCTGCTTGTGTTGGAGGATAAGGAAGGAGTGAATCAATGTGGCTAGCTCTGAATAAAAGCACGCCTTTTCAGGTTCAAGGATAGAAACTTATTTTTCAATTACGTGCAACTCTTAATGGGCTGGCTATACAAGCATTCTCTGAGGCGCAGCA